ATCAATTACTTCGCATTTTAATCGATTAAAATCCTGCCAAATATTTTTATAAAACTATCTAAGTGATTTTAAGCTGATAAATAAAGGGTGAACCTCTAGATAAATAAAGGGTATTAATAAATAAATAAATTTTCTTATTATTCGTCGGTAATTACCGACGGATTTTTCAAATCCATCGATAATATTTACCGACAACACAATTTTCGACGGATTTTGTCTGTCGAAAATTTTAATTTTTCTTGTAGTGTTCTCTTGAAAATAAAGAAAAAATAACTCTAAGAGAACCTAAAAGGAGAAACTATGTTTCTCTCTTAATTTATCTCCCAAGTACTAAAGCAGCAAGAGAAAGAAAAAGAAGTGATTTTGGTGAATTTGACAAGGTAAACATTGTGCTCCTTTTATAGTAAGAAAAGTAAGCATCAAAATAAGATTTTCCTTATGTGAGACTTTTCTTCTCACATCTTCATGCACCAACATGAAGGAGGGTATTACAAATATTCGACACGAAATTCAAATTGTAATCAATAGATCGTGAAGATTATGATTTCTTTGAATTAATTGTAGATATTATGATCTTTATGAATTATTTGTGATTTCTTATAGGAAATTTGAGGTTAATATTTTTATATAAAATTGTGTATATTTAAAACATTTTATCATGAAAGAAATACAACTGACATATTTTCTCTCAAAATTATTATTATTATTATGAAATTTGACTTTTTAAAATAATTGTTTTATCTATATCCTTCAACAAATATTCATTTTAAATTGCATGTACATTCAACAAACTTTTATTATTATAAGAACAACGGCTTTAAGAATAGGGACAATATCTAATTTTAGTGTAGGAGACTGTAATTTTCTATGATTTTTTTTAATAATTTTGGATAATGTTTTTCATTATCATTGATGATTTATCACTTAGTGTGGATATCAACTGTCATAGGAGTTATACAGTATGAGCCAAGAGTAAATAATTGTGTTGAATATCGAGAGAGATACAATGAGTAAACCGAAGGATATCATAATTGTGATCATTTAATAATGTACCATGACGAAGTTTTGAAATTTATACCTACTCTTATTTTTGTAATTTGTACCTACTCCACGAATTGTTGTTTTAACCATGAAACAATATTTTTATGGTTTATAAATACCCTTCATTGTAGAATATTTTTTATTGTTATTTAATAGGAAAATAATGGGAAGAAATTATTATTTTTCCATCATCGTGAGTCCTGTTTTTTTTACTTGCAATCTATGCACAGAATATGAAGGCAAATGCAGCTTCAGATGATGATATACCAAGGATCAAGATGATTACGTTCTACTTGACCTGGATGCTGTTTTTCTCCTAATTAACCTTCCACCAAATGCCAACTGTTCTTACTGTAAGTTCCCCAACTTCTTGCCCTTTCTTCATATTTTTTAACTACATGTGTATCAAGTTCATCAACTATGTAAATTTTCCACCCAGTATCATCATTTTTTTCTTATAAACAGATTATCTATCTTAATTCAAATGTGATATTAACATACTCTGTTTAAGTGCTTAAGCTTTCTATATACTGTTTTGACTGCTGAACGAAGTGAACTGAATGTTTAAAATGGGAAATACTTTATTAACAACGAATATGCAAAACACAACCAACCAATCTAAAACTTTTTATAATAAATAATAATAATAATAATAATAATAATAATAATAATAATAATAATAATAATAATAATAATAATAATCTATCAATAATAATTCTGTCAGAATTAGAGTTTTTCATATCTCAAGTATTGTCTATTTTGAAATTCTTGTTCATCACGATTTTATCTTTATAAGACATAAAAATATTGAGAAAAAAAAGATATATATAAATAATTTTTTATTTCGACTCTTATGTGATATCGAACTTGTGAGCGTACGGAACAATAATAAATTTTATAATTATTATTAAAAAATGTTTGAGAAAAATGAATTATTTATATATTACTTTACATAAATAAATAATAACTTTTTTTCTATTAAATATATTATATGATTTTGAAAAAAAGGAGTTTTTTATATATTATTTTTCATTAAAAAAATATACTGCTAAGTAAATTATGTCCGGTGAAGAAGGAAACCTTGATACGTTTGTAAGGAAAATTTTTAAACTGTAATTTACCTTTTATAAAATTTGAATTGTTTTATAATAAAATAATGGATAAAAAAATTATAACTCAAAATTAAATAATATAAGATTTTCCTAATATCCTTGTTCATATTTGTGTTTTTTTTTTCATACTTCTTCATCTATTTGATTGAAAATGAGAGATTGTCTACTCAAAACATTGTCTCTTGATATCTTCCGATTACATCATGTAAAGTTATTTTTCAACCAACATTACTTATGATTTTATTGATCAAATAATAAAGTTATTTTTAATCAATATTAGTCATATTTTTTTATCAACAATAATGATAAGTTAGAATTGTTTATGTGAACTTAGAGATTTTTAAGATGTGGATGAAAATATTTTTAACCGAGGTAGATGAAGATTATTTAATGATTAAAGTTATTTAGAATTTTTCTTCTACCAATGTTACATCCAACGCATAAAACAAATTAGGTCAATTTCCTTTATCTGTTTAAAAAATGGATAAATTTTTTAAAATTTTTAAATATGGTTAAGTTGTGTTTTGATATATGATTTGATCGTGAAGAAATCGTGAATGAGAAGACAACTTTAACTGAATGTACATGTGTTCTTTTTTTCTTTTTAAGTTGTATTCTAATGAAAGACTAGTAAAACAAAAAATTTAAAGTGAGGTGACCAATTGATTGATAATTTTAATTTAATTTTTTTATATTAAAGTTGACAATTAATTGACAATTTTAGTTTAGTTTTTTAAAATAGAATTTATCAATTTATTAATGACTTTAGTTCATATATTTTTAAATTAAATTTTATTTTTAAAGTTTTATTTAATTAAAAATTTAATAAAATAAATAATTAATTATTATTTAGACGTCTATAATATTAAATAATTTTTAAATATATTAAATTGTTAAAAAGAAGATATGAATTTATCAATAAAGAGAATATACATATATTATATAAGAAAATGAAATTTTATATTTTCATTGTCAAAATGAATAATTATCACGATATTCATTTCGATAAAATGAATATTTTTTTGGCTTATTTGGAATAGATTCATTCATCTCATTTTGAATGTAATTTATTGTTGGTCTTCTTTATTATTGTCGATGTAGATTTGGATGAGGAAAAATTTTTGGATTAAATAAGGAGATAATCATCTTCGTTCCAAACAAGATGAAACTACACCTCAAAAACCTTGTAAATAATTTGTTGTTTGTACATCGAGTCAACATGTGTCGATGTGTAAGTGACAATAAGAATATACAACAATAACATAAGAGCAAAGAAATCGAAAACATTAAAACTTTCCACAATCACACCACCAGTCATTTAATTTGACTATATAGTTTACGGACGACACGACATTGGGAATTTGATACCTCTTAGACATCAAACTCAAAATTTTCTCAATTGTAGTTTTGAACAATACACTTCCCTGCATATCATTCATGTTCTTTGAGCAATTTAGGAATCTCATCTGGATAATGATGTCCTGCTCGTAACATGGACTCTACTTTGGTGCCCCGTTTAACAAATCACTCCCCATCGTATGCTTGAGTTCACTTTTCTAAAGAAATTTCATCTAACCAAGAAATTGCCTGACAAAACTCAGATATCGTAGCATTCAATTTAGCTACTTACAGGGGCTATTGCATTTCATTTCAATTCACGAAATTTCTTCAATCTTGAGCTTGTTAAACTTGTGATCCTTTCTTTGCTTATTTCCTTATGAATCTTCATCTTGTGAGCCTTTCTTTACTTTTAAAAATGATAGACAATAGTCATCTTCCGTCAAATATATCTTTATTACGCTTTCAAGATAACACATGTTAGGAAAACTCTAAAAATAATTTAAAATATATGAACTAAAGTTGTAAATCAATTGACGACTTCACTATCTAAAAAATATATTTCAACTAAAATCGTCATTTAAAAGATAATTTTAATAAAAAAATTATTAAAATTATGTATTTAAATACTAGTTCTGAAAAAAAAAAAGATGTATATATATATATATATATATATATATATATATATATATATATATATATATATATAATTTTTATTTGAAGAAGTTAAAATAGTCTCTCCGACGGACTTATTCATATGAAAACATATCTAAATACACTACTTACCCATAAACGGAATCTTTAAAAAATTTATCCACGAAAATTGGTCCAACGCATAATCCGCGCAAAATAAAAGATCAACATGACCTTGGTCACCTGCAAATTTACATCCAACACAAAAAAAGACACATTTAAATCAGCAAAAACTGATCTAAGGGAATGAGCACGTAACAATGGAAACAAATATGGAAGCATTTGGATATTACATTACAAACACAGGATATAGGGGATGCTTTTGCTATTTCTTTACAAAAACATATTAGTGGAATATAAATATATTATTCTTCTCTTGCCATTTTAAAATTTTGATAACAACATTGAGCCCCTCGTTTATAATTGGAGAGGTTCACCGGCAAAATATTCCAATAAAACAACCAAAATTTAAACAATGCCGATTTGTTTAGTTTGCAGAGCTTGTAAAAAACATGAATAATTAGCAGGCAGTTAGTAAATGCTAATACGATTGGTAAGTTGAAACCTTCAAATTTCTAATTTAATATATTGAATACCATGGATTTACAATATATAGGAGTTGAACACATTAACTCACTGTTTCATTAACCGAGAGCACAATCCTTAAGCCTATATGTAGCTACCAAAGAACAATGTACCCTATATTGAAAAGGTTCTCTGTACATATCAAAAAGAAGTTTTAATCCAAGGAATAGACATTGTTCACCAAGGAACACACAATTGGCATCAATTCCCAGGATCTAGTAAGCTTTAAATTCATTTGAGCTCCTCAAGTGTGACGCTCTGAATTTCGGAATCAGGTGATAGTTTAAACTTGAGAACCTTGTGAAGCTGACACAAGAGTTTCACTTGTTTAGTTGGAGGTTGACTTGAATCAATTAGTCTTGTTCCAGAGAAAAGGTTCACTTCAGATGATCCTGTCTCTTCGTGAACCACAAGGGTATCTGCATAAAAGGATGCTTTATCAAACAACTTATTTTAAGCATCTCAAAGTGGGAAGCAAATGAAATTAAAAATAGTTCCACAGTAGCATGTCTTCCATATAACATGAGTATCATAACAATTTGAAAGGCATGATTACTGAGTGATTAAAGGATAGCTATTCCTCTGCAAAACATGTCTAATTCAACAATTGATTGGCAATAGAGGATCTTCTTCATTGGCTAAATCTTCTACATGTTTATTTAGAGTTTGCTCGAGACTATAACTGCAGAATGGGGGGAGAAGCAACAATGCCGACTTCCAAATATGATCTACAGTTACATGAACTATTACAGAATATAAAATAGTACATAGGAAAACATGATGCCAGATGCAGAGTCAATTAACGAATGCTACTAAACATGCCAACAGAAGTAGCAGTGAGAGATGTGGGAATATAAATAACATTGCAATAAAAAGCCCACGATTTTCGATCTCAACTAATTCAGGAATAAAGACATTGTAAATATTTTACTTATAGAGGGAATGCGGAAGAATCATATTTGGAAAGCAGTTATCTCTCATAATGACAAAGCATAAAAACATTGACTCTTTAACAACCAGAGTCAGGTCAGAGTATCCTGACAAGTGAACATAATTCTAGTTTCCAAGACTAACAGCCTTTTAACAGACATATTCTGCACAACTGTAACTCACCTTGTTCGGTAAAAGCAAGACATGTGCCAATTGTCTCCTCATATTCCCCAATCTGTAGACAAAAAATAATGACAAATAACAATCCTTAAATGATCATTATCCATTCAGCGAATTTATCAAACAAAAATTGATAGAAGCAACTTTATCCTGATGGAAACTTTCTAACTGAAATACATCACTCAAATTATTTGCCTAATCCTATCGATATGCATTGAAGATATGTACATCTAAACAAATGGACAACCTTCACGAATCTGTATAACTTCAACAGATTCGCACAAGACTACAAGAACACCAAAATAGCAGCATTCACTTAATCCCAAAAATTCTCAGAAATCAAAATCCTTGAAGGCAGTAAGGCACAAGGAATTTTAAATCAGGCAACTTACCAGCTTAAATTTGTCATCAATGATCAATACTGGGTTTAATGTATCAAGGCCCTATCATTAACAAGAAATAATGTAAGTGTGGGAAATCAAATAGTACTTTAGGAAAGAATAAATTAGGAAATTTGTAATCTATACAGAGTTGAACAATTAGGAACAATCCCATAAATCAAGGGATCCTAGAATAAAATAGAGTAATTATATTTCTTAAAATAGCTTAGGTCTCCTGTATATATCTTGTATGATCTCTTTGTATTAAAATAATAAAATAAGATTTTATTTAATCTAATTTTCCAGATGGTATCAGAGCTTCTTATCTAGGAAGTTCTGTCTGCGCACTATAAACTCTAATGGTTGATACCCTGACTAACATTGACCAAAAAATAATCATTCTAATGTTGGCTCAAAAAATCCTAACTATAGTAGATTGAGAAATAACCTCGACCTACATAGGTAAAAATTAATTTTGGTGGTCCGAAAAACAATCCCATCTAACATCAAATGAATATAATTCAGTTTACATAAACCTAAAAATGTTGTATTTGACATCGGTCAGAAAACACCATTGATGTCAACAAAGTTCTAATTAACATTGGTTGAGAAATAACACTAGTCTACATCCGCAAAAATATTTTGGCAAGTTTGGTTGAAAAATAACTACAATCAACTAAACTACTACTTGAAAGAAATTCGCCAACATCAGTCAAAAAAATGATTACACTATAAAATTGTCCGTCCAAACACACTATATAAGTTTCAGTGCTTGTCTACCTATAGTTTAATTAGCAGAATGACAAAGAATTGTCATTTCAAAATACATAGTTCATTTGGTTTAGAAGTCAAAACACAACATAGAAAGCTTGAACAGTTAAGCAGTATGGTAATATCACAATACAATTGAATCAAGATGAATAATCCTGTTTTTAAAAGAAAGAAAAAGAATAATGGTAGGGGTTGAAAATTTACATAGCTGATGAACTTGATACACATACAATGAAAAATATGAAGTGCAAAAGGTTGGGGAACTTACGGTAAGAACATAGTTGGCATTTGGTGGAAGGTTAATTAGGTTAGAAACACCATCCAGGTCAAGTAGAACATATTCATCTTGATCTTCTTGTTCATGTGAAGCTGCATTTGCCTCCATGTTCCTGTCCTGTGCATAGATTGCAAGTAAAAACTAACACCCAGTAGCCAAAATGAAAGGAAAATAATAGTTTATGCCCATTATTTGTTTTTTTTTTTTCAAATAACAATAAAAATAATTCCACAATGAAGGGTATTTAACGACCATCAAAATAAAAAAAAGTTGTTTCATAGTCAAAACAACATAAAATTCTTCCAGAAGGTTCAAATTACAGAAACAAGAGTTGAGATTTGATTTTGAATCAACCATCTGAGAAGGTTATGATTTTGCACTTGGAATTTTCAGTTAACATAGACAAAGGTAATGCTGGATATTTTAAAAAAGGTAAATCAAGTTCAGAAGCGGAAATCACACAAAGAGCATAAATAAATGTGAAACAAATTGAACTGAAGTCTAGAGATGATGAAAAGTGGATGCAGGTAATAATGCTAAATACAGTTTGGAAAAATTGAAATTTAGAACCCTAACATCAAATAACAATTGTTGAAGAGGCAAACAACAAAAACTAAACCTTGACACAACAGAGGAGCTCCCAGGCGCATGTGTCCCATGCGCCACCTTCCAGTGACCAAAATCAAGACCGATCACCACCGGTCAACTTGTCGGCGTCCTCCAAGTCTAGTGGTGCCCTTACTTTTCTGTTTTGGGAACTTTGGAAGCTAGGTCACGTGGGTACTCCAATTGGTTAGATTTATCTTTCATCTTTGATTCAAATGGCTTCATCCAATGCTTTTTCTTTCTCTGTTACTCCCACCATAACTAGTGTCAAACTCAAGTAGAAAAATTATCTATCCTGATCTGCGTCAGTTGAAATGTGGTTTCTAGGTCAGGGGTATCATGACCATCTGGAGATGTAAACTCTATTTCTACCTCAAAATGGTCTCAGTGAGAGAGAATAGACTTCCAACTTTATGCAATCTTATGGCAATATGTGGAATATGAGGTTCTTAAGTTTCTCAGGTCATTCAAAACCTATTCTTCGTTTTGGAAAAATGCTCAAGATATTTTTGCTAACGATATTCAGCTTCTCTTTAATGCAACTCAAAGAGTGACATCTCTCAAGCAAACAAATCATAACATGATGTCTCACATTGCAAAAGTTAGGGCTACTATGGAGGAATTAAAAAGTTTTCTTATGTCAAATACCTTAGAAGAGTTCAATTCCAAATTGGATAAACTATATATGATCCTAATTTTGAAGAGTCTACATTCTTGATACTCCTCATTAGATATCTTCATATCTGGTCATTCAGACTTAGAGACATAGGCAGTAGTATTCTTGTCAGGAAAACCGTGTAAGGAATAGTAGATTTCCTTTGTGTGCCCCATCGTCTTGCAATAGAAGCATCAAGGACGACCTTTTGTATTCCTATGTCCTCCTTGACTTTTACGTCCTCCCCCTCGACCACGAGAAGCAACCATAGCTAAAGTTTCAACTATCTCCGCCTGATTTTCATCTATCATAAGATTGGAAACTCGAATCAGCCTCGTGACAAGATTATCTATTGACAGAACCTGATCACCAGCTAAGATTTGATCACGTACATGATCAAAATCAGAATGCATACTCCTCAAAATTAGGACCATATATAGTTTATCATGTTGTGATTTGTCTGCTTGAGAGACGTCAACCTTTGAGTTGCATCAAAGAGACACTAAATATTATTAGCAAAAATGTCTTGAGCCTTTTTCCAAAACGAAGAGCAGGTTTGCATGACTTGAGAAGCTCAAGAACCTCAGGTTCCACATACTGCCATAAGATTTCATAAAGTTTAAAGTCTATTTTCTCCCACTGTATCACAATTCACCTAAAGCAGACCAGGATAGATTAGATAATTTTTCGTGTTGAGTTTGACACCGGTTATGGTGGAAGTAGCAGAGAAAGAAAAAGCACTAGATGAAGTCATTTGAATCAAATATGAAAGATAAACCTAACCAATATACCCATGTGACCTAGCTTCCAATGTTCCCAAAATAGAAAAATAAGAGCACCACTAGACTCGAAGGACGCCAACGAGTCGACCAATGGTGATCGGCCTTAATTCCGGCCACTGAAAGGTGGCACGTGGGACATACGCGCCTGAGAGCTCCTCTTGGAGAAGTAGCATGTGAGGCCGTAGATGGAGGAATGATTAGCAGGGGTGTGTTGGGCCCTTCGAGCCCCACAAAACTCCTCTTTCACCAAACCAAACTAAGACGGTGGCCGGCAGCGAACGGTAGCCGGAGATGATGGGGATGACCAAAAATTAGTATGAGATTTTACATACTCTTAGACCAACTTGAGAAACTTATTTAAGGTTTCAATACAGTGTCTAAAGACACTATTCTATTGTATTTATAGATAAAGAAGATACAACGAAGAGGAAATGGGCCTTAGCCCAAATCCTTAACCCTAGCCTAAGAAACATACAAAGAGAATACAAAAAGATAAATAAACAACATGTGTCAACACGTCTCAAAGCTCGTTTAGTAACTAAAGACTACACTCAAATTTATAACCTTAATTACTATGATACCTTCTCTCCAGTAACTAAGATTTCCATTATTCGTCTTTTCTTTGTTATAGTTGTTATTCGTTATTGGCCCTTTCACCAACTGGACATTAAAAATGTCTTTCATCATGGTGACCTTGAGGAAGAGATTTATATGGAGCAACCTCCTCGCTTTGTTGCTGAGGGGAGTCTAGTTTGGTGTATAAGCTACACTAGTCTCTTTATGGCCTGAAGTAGTCACCCCGAACTTGGTTTGAGAAATTCAGTCATGTTGTGCAGGTATTTGGCTTGAAAAGGAGTGAAACAGATCACTCAGTGTTTTATTGTCATTCCTCTTCAAGCAAGTGTGTATCTTATGGTTTATGTTGATGATATTGTTATTACAGGAAATATTATACTAAGATTAGTCAATAAAAATAATTTTTTATTGTAATAAAATTAATTATAAAGATAATATATAAAGTTAAAATTAAAAAAAAAAAGAATTAAAAAAGTTTGACTCTGACGGAAAATATTCTCCTTATTGAAACACAACATTCTCTCTCCTATTCCGCTAGTTTTCCTAAGCACTCGATTATTTTTATCCTTATGACTTGAATTAAAGGTGTAAAAATTACTAAAACACGAATAATGTAAATTTTTTCAAATAAAAAAATATAAATATTTAAAATTTTCAATATAAAAAATATAAATTTTAACATTATATATATATATATATATTTGTTATTATTTATTATTATATAAATTTTATTATTGTTCTAAATTATAATTTCTTAAAATAATATATTAATGTATATTATTAAATTAAAATAATATATATTTATATATATTGAATTATTGACAAATAAATAATAATCTTATTATTAAAAAAATTTATTTTAAAAATTAAATTATTTTTTTCTAAATGATGGCGGGTCAGCCCACCGGCCAGCCAACCCGTTCCTTGGCAGGGCGGGTCAAAGTCTACAGCCCGTCATGACTATAACGGTCCAGCCCGCCCCGCCTCGCTTTTGGCGGGCCAAAGCCGGGGCAGACTGGCCCGTTTTGCCATCCCTAGGGTTGAGTGTTAGATAATCTCTACACCTAGTTCTGAGGAGTAGTCTAGGACTGTGCATTTAATGTAATCTCCCTATTGTATCTATTTTTATCTATATAAATAGTGAACCATGAGGGGGGTTCTTCAAGCCATCTAAAAACACTTTTTCTTTGTTTTGAATATCACATGTTTAACAAATTGGAAACTCATTGATACCCCAATGAACCCTAACCAGAAATTGATGGGAGATAAAAGAGAAAAGTTGTTAGATCTAGAAAGATCCAAGAGGTTGGTTGGTAAACTCATTTCCCTTACTATTTTCTTATGCAATTGGAGTAATTAGCCAATTTCTACAAAATTGATTCGCATTCTGAAATATGTTAAAGGGGCCTCAAGACAAAGATTATTGTATGAAAACAAAGGTAATACTCAAATTCTCGGTTATTATGATACAAATTGGGTTGGTTGTTCCATTGATAGAAGATCTACTACAAGGTATTAATAGATCTATGGCGTTTGTTACAAGTGAACTTGTATGGATCAAACAACTCCTTCACGAATTAAAATTTTGTGATGATAGGCAGATGAAGTTGTTTTGTGATAATCAAGCAACTCTCCATATTGCCTCCAAACCAGTGTTTCATGAAAGAACAAAGCATATCGAGATTGATTGTCACTTTGTTAGAGAAAAGTTATTGTCTAAGTAACTTGTAACTAAATTTATAAGCTCCAATGAGTGCATACAATCTATATGCTCCAGTTTGAGGGGGAATATTGAGACATGTTTGTTTATCTGTCTTTTTGTATTCTCTTTGTATGTTCCTTAGGCTAGGGTTAAGGGTTTAGGTTGAGACCCATATCATCTCTGTTGTATCTCCTTTATCTATAAATATACAATGGAACAATGTCTTTAGACATTATATTGAACCCTAAATAAGTTTCTCAAGTATGTGTTATACATCCAGAAGGATACCTATGTTATCATCTTCCTACTCATCATATGTATATAACAATGAATGCGGTCTTTCATGAAGATACAAAGTATTTTTCCTCTGAGTCTGATTTTTAGAAGGGAACCAACCAAAAATTAAGAAAATAAAGACTCTATAATATAAAATCCAAACTCGAAAGTATAATATCGATCTAAATGATATAATTTCATATGTTCATCCTTTAAGTAAATGATATAATTTCATATGTTTTTAAGAAATGAAGAAGAAATTAATATTAGAGAATCATCACAAAAAATTTGTACTAAAGATGACATTGAAACTCCACATGAATCTCAAACTAGAAAAAATATTGAAGTTTCACATGAAACTCATAATGGAGAAGCCCCACAAGAAACTTAATAGAGATAGTATTGAAGTACCACATGAACCTTTATATGGAAATAATATTGAAGCCTCACATGAACATCTTAATGAAAATGTTACAAATCATTGACCAAAAAACAATTGTCAAAACGTTTCACTAGAGGTATTTCTAAACTTACTAATGAGTGAGAACTTTTTAGTAAAGATAAATATCCTATGAGTCACTATTTATCAAATCATATACTATTAAAAATAAATAAAATATTGATGAATTAGTTATCTGCATTAGTTATCCCTAGAAATTTGCAGAAAGCTTTATTTGATCCAAAAGATGGAAGACCACTATGAATGAGAAGATGAACTCGTTTCAAAAGAATGATACTTGGATACTGGTTGATTGTCCACCAAGAAAGAAATAAGTAGGATATCATTGAATTTACACTATTAAATACAAAACAAACAGTACAATAGAAAAATATAAAGCAAGATTGGTGGCGAAAGGATATAGCCAAACATATGGAGTTGATTATATAAGGTTTGCTCCTATAGCAAAAATTAACATTGTTCGAGTATTATTGTCTTCGGCAGCAAATTTGGATTGGCCATCAAAGCAATTTGATGTAAAAAATACATTTTTACATGTAAAAAAAATCTTTGTATGAGTTAAAACAATCTTCATGAACATGATTTGAAAAGTTTACAAAATCTATGACAACATTTGGATGTCATCGAGTAATTTAGATCATACTTTACTTTTTAAGAAACAAGATCATACTTTATATTTGAAAAAATAAAAAGGTAAAATAATTATAGTTATTGAATATGTAAATGATATGATTGTTATAGAAATAATTCATAAAAAAGTAAAGCATTACAAGAATATGCATTAAAAGAGTTTGAAATGAAGGACTTTTATCACTTGAAATATTTTCTAGGCATTGAAGTATCAAGATCCAACCAAAAAAAGAATCTTAAAGAAAATATGCCCTAGACTTGTTTCAAGAAATAGGTATGTCAACTTGTTTCAAGAAATAGGTATGCCAACTTGTTAACCAAATGGAAGAAGGTTTAAAGTTATTTACTACCAAGTGATGAGACCTTGACCATTGATTTTAGGGGACCAAATAATACATTATTAATAAATAATAAATAAATATAAAAAGATGAAAGAAGATAAAAAAATAAGATGATAAAATTGTAAATATATTAAATAATTATTAAGTTTAAGGAACCAATACCATAAATTATATGAGTTATAAAATTGAGGAGACCGAGAGGATAAAATTATAAATATATAAGTAAAAAAATTAATAATCATTAAGTTTGGGGGCCAAAATCATAACTTATATGAGAGTTACAAAACTTTGGAGGGGGACACGACCACCTTCAGTTCCCAAGAAAGTCTGTCACTGTCTACTGCATCCGATCAAATCTCAATTGATAAACAAAGATAAGACTTGTAGAAAGATTAATGTACTTAACATACACAAGACCAAATCTTGCCTAAAGTGTTGTCAGTCAATTTATACATAATCCTAGCAACATATGAATGTCGTTATGCACATTTTAGGATATTTAAAATAAGCAACTGAAAAAGGATTATTATTCAGAAACAAAAATACAAATAATTAACAAATAGATATATATATTGATACTGATTGAGTTGGATCATTAGAAGATAAACAATCAACATCAGGTTACTTTACGTTTGTTGGTGATAATCTTGTTACATGGAGAAGAAAAAAACAAAATGTGGTATCTTGCTCAAATGCATACACCGAGTTGATGATTAACACTTAGAATGTTTAAAAGTGTATGACTATATATATATATATATATATATATATATATATATGTGTGTGTGTGTGTGTGTGTGTGTCTTTTCTTTATACTCTCCCCACCATGGCCCAGCTAAAACCAAAGCATCATTGGCTTAGCTAAGGCCAAAAATGATGTAATCTTGACCTCAGGCAAGACGTTGTCAACTTGACCTTGACTATAACATTATCAACCCGATTCTGGTTGGGCTATTTCTCAACCAATGTTAGTAGGACTATTTTTTCAATTGATGCTAGTCAAGGTTTTCTATTGATGTTAATGGGAGACAAATTTTATATTGATGTAATTAGGATTTTTCAGCCAACAATGCTAGAGATCATTCTTCAATTGGCATCAAAGTTATTTCTCGATCGATGTTAGTCAATATTTATCTATGAATGTTGACAAGTCTATTTAAAAAAAAAATTAAACCAGCCAAGTATTTTCAATGTTTGTAGAGATTTTTTTCAATCAACATCACCAATAATATTTTTTATCCAAAGTTGATAAAAAAAACCTTCTTGTTGATTAAGGAAACTTTTAGTTAAACTTGACTATGATTGATTTTGTCAATGTCAATCAAAGAAATTTTTAATCAACATCGATCGAAAAATCAGCAAAAAAAAAATATCAACCAACAAAGTCGATAAAAAATGTGACCACATTGTTAACCAAAATATTTGTGGTTAGTATTAGCTTAGCATGACCTCATTTGATATCAATCAAGAAAATCCCTGATCAACATCAACTAAAGATCTTGGAAGACTTCTGGTATTTTTAAATTATTAAATATTGTTTAATATTAGAATAAATTAAAATAATTTGTGATAATTAAAATACTTTATCCAAACATAAAAATTAAAATTCAATAAATTTGAATTGTCTTATCTAAACCAAACATTTGGAAAATGAAACAATTGGATTTGAAAATAAATCAATTCAATGTATTTTCCTGAAATTACAAAATTTTCTATCCAAGCACATAGTTAGATTATTTTATTACGTTTCGCATTATCATTGCTTTTAACTTGAAGATATCTTAACTTCACTCCATTTATACTTTTACCTGTCTGTCCTCTCTAATAATATTATTATTCCATATAAAGATATATAAATGCTCAAGGGTGTGATTACGAGTTTGGTCTATCCTCTAATAATATTATTATTCCATATAAAGATATATAAATGCTCAAGGGTGTGATTATGAGTTTGGGCATGACTTCAGGCATGGAGCTTTCTACCAAACACCTAGTGCTTAAAATACTAAACTAATATTATATGATGCAACCAACCTAAAGAATCTAAAACTAAAGAAAACAATTTAGTTTGACAGATCAAGTAAATGAAAAGAGACTTACAATTTCGAACTCGGAGAGGGAGCAAAGCCAAGTAACATCTTCAACCTTAGTCTCACAATACTTATCTGGCTCAACCATTTGCCGTACACGTTTCTTTAAGTGTTTGTCCTTCATAGTATCAAACTTGATACAACATGATCTGAATTCCTATTAAATTTTTAATCAAAATAAGGACACAGTTGTAATATAAACAGAAAAATGTGGTGTTTCATACAAACAAAAAAGGTGAATATTAACCATAACAAAATAAAATACACATTCAACTATCATATGGCCAAAACAAAATAAACAAGGGAAGGGAAATTAATGAAACTCCCAAACTAATAAACACACAAAGAAAGATAAAACAGAACAAGAAACAATAATGAAAAGTGACAACGGTTGAAGAATGTAGTTGGCATGCACTAAAGACCCATTCACCTCAAGCAGTATTTGAGGGCGAGAGGAAAAGCAGCACAAGAGGTCAAAAGTGAGTCAACCCATCAACAAGGGTTGTCAAAAAATTCAACTCCCAAAGGTTGGATCACTTTAGTAGTGAGGCCAAATTTCGTCAACCTGGCTCAGTCACCACAGGTGGTGGATTAAATGGGCTAACTCAAACTCATCATAATTAGAGAGCAAAAAATTAAATTTTAGAACATTACAAATGTAGAAAAACTTTTGAGGATGGAGTTCCAATTTATAATCCCCTAATGATATTAAAAATATGTTGTAAAGTTAAAAGGTAACCAATTCATTCTTAAGTTTTAAAATAAGAGAATGACATAAAGTAATTGTTCATTTTAAAAGAACAAAAGGACAATTAAGAGCAAACTGACATTTGGTTTTATTTGAATCATTTTTAACAAATAAGACTTACTAATGCACCTAGGAGCTAGGTTTTGCGAAGCTTGGCAAACAACCCCTGAAATCTATAATATTTATTGGGATTAAGGAATTATGACAAATTGATCTAACATTAAACATAAAAAAAAAAAAAAAGATCCGGATCATTATAATACTACTTTCCTTGATCATCATAATGGTAAAAAATGACAATCTGAATAAGCACAACTAGGTTACCTCGCAACATATCAGCACCTTAAACAAGTTATTGACCTTAAATTCCCTTTACCTTAAAGTTATCTCTACATTCATTTCATTATAGTAGTTTCTGGAAAAAGTAGATATAAATGTATAGAGTAATCACAACCAGAAAATATCACCAACAGCTACCATTACAAAGAAATCATAATACGTGTAGTCATCCTGTTCTTTACAGGTTGCCACATTTAAATTCTTAATCAGAAAATGCGTTTCCAAGGAAGGCCTAGAATGACAATGCAACTTTGGAATAAATAATTGTTGACCTACTATTATAAATTCAAATAAATTGTAATCGATTTGCCAGGGGTAGGAAAAAAAAATCCAGAAATCTTCTCTCAGAGACATAACTTTATCTACTTTTTCCTATATTTCATATTTAAATATTATGAGTTTGTCTACAATAACAGTAAGTAACCCAAAAATCTAAACTTTCATAAAAAAATGCAATTACATTTAACATCTCGATTTCGACTCTCTCACTCATTTCGTTATGTATTTCCAAACCAAACCCAAAACACGATTTCATTCCCCGCTCGAGTTTAGATTCTCCATGAGACAAAACACGCTTGCCCTCCAGCGACTAAATCCCAACTCCATTTCAATACAATCTTCATTTATTACATTAAAGTCGTCAACAGTACAAACACAACTTCGAAATGTTAAGAAAAGAAACTCAGAGTAACAACATCATAAAACCATTCAAACTGGTTTAAGAAATTAGCAATGACTAACCTAAACCTAGAAGTCTAAAACCCTGTATATTATTCTAAATAAAATATTACAGAAGGAATTAAATGCCTTAATCCATACCTATTTCTCCAAGCCTTGACCTATCTTCTCCTTCTCTTTGACCGAGAATGTGGTGTTCAAAGGTAGGGTAAAACGATTGCCGTTCGTGGTTTCTTGCGGTTTTGGGTGAAAGTGAGATGAATTTTCGTGGTGAGGAAGATAAGTTTCCCTAAGTCTCGAAGGAGAGGAGTTTCGGGTGGACTTTGAAAGAGAGAGAAAGAGGGATTTTCGTGGGTTTTGGAGGAGAGAGGGGAGTGGGTTTTGAAGGATATGGGTACTTTAGTCAATTTAGGCCTATTCCCCGTGGTCCGTAGCCCATGGGCCTAAGCATATGGGCCGAAAAATGAGGATTGCTTGTAAAATCAGATACACTATTCACTACCCTAATCTTATTTAAAAAGATTAAAAAAAATGTAGAGTTTTAGTTCTTTTGAGAGTGTTTCGTTTAACTCGTTAATTTAGTAAATTAATAAAAACTTTATTAATTTATTTAATACATATATATATATATATATATATAATATATATATTAAAATTTAAATAAAAATATAATTTTTTTATATTATTGAAATATTTGAATATATTAAAATTTAAATTATAATTATTAATTAATTAATTTAAATTATTATTTATAATTAAATATTTTAATACATAACTATAATAATTTTTTATTTATCAAATAAAAATATTATATATTTAGAATATATATATATATATATATATATATATATATATAAATTGACAATCTTATTTGTTAATTTGTCATTTACGAAAAAACAAACACTAAAATCTATAACTTATTTTAATTATAATTAACTATTCTAATCCACCTCTTCTTTATAGATTACAAGTGAGATGATTAATCTTAATGGGCATAATATCTATTTAAGGTTTTAATAATATTTAGTTTAAAGTTTTAAATATATTAAATTCTTATATATGTTATCCTCTTTTTACACTATTTAACTTTTTAATTTTTATTCTTAAGTATATAAATTATATTATTATAATATGGAAGTTTGTGCTAAACTACATCTTAATTTCGCTTTTGTCACCTTAGTTTTTTTTTTTCTCTTCTTTTATTCACTATTTTATCTCATCTATTGTCCTTTTGTTCTGGATTTTTCTCATATGGCATATTCTAAGAGACATTGTTTTTTATTTTTTTAATATATTTTATTAAGTGTTAAATTTAAAAAAATATATAAATGTTATTTTAAGTTGTCTCCAGATATTGTGTATTTTTTAGTATGCTAATATTATTATATTATAAGAAGTACAATTTCTTTCCATTTATTAGTTCTAAAAACTTTATACTTAATGGTGAGGAATAGTAAACTTTAATAATAAATAAAATAGTATATTATTTCACTTAATAAATTATTCTAACCTAATTTTTACTTAAAAATAGTATTTGTTCTTTATTCTTTTTTTTTTAAATGTGTTCAATCTGTAAACTATTATATATATTTTTTAATTATACTTAAACTAAATAGTTACTTAGCAATCCAATTTTTTTTCACAAAGGTATATATTTTGATAATTATTATAATTCCACTTCTTAATTTGAAATATTATTTTATAAATAATGGATATAATTTAATGCTTTTATAATTTAAAATTAACTAATGAACATGTCATGATTTGAAACATAGTTCTAGTGATTTCGACATGTTAAAAAATAACTTATTTCAATGAAAAATCATACATACAACAATTTGAAATATTGACTAACTCTATATAATATTACCAATTGAAAGTTAACAGCGCAGTTAATAAAATATTGACCAATTAATCTTTTGTAATGCTCATAATTGACCAAATTAAAAAAATAAATTAGCTAAATCTTAATTAACGAGTTTGTTTATATATATATATATATATATATATATATATATATATATATATATATATATATATCATCCTAATAAAAATAATAGACATTTTTACATATTATGAGAGCTAATAATATAATAATATTATATAATGATAAATGATTTTTAATTTTAAATAATAAATTATATATAATCCTGAACCTTAACCAGGAAGCACTCTCTTTTATATTATACTACCATTATATAATGATAAATAATTTTCAGTTTTGAAAATAATAAGCACCACCGTTCATAATTATATCTTGTGATAAAGTAAAAGAAAAAACTAAAAAGTATATTGATAAATATATTTTGAACAATATTAAATTAATATTTTTTATATTTAGAATTTAATAAATATATTATTTTAGCTGTGAAAATAACTTTATTACTCTTGTATTAATTTAGAATGAGTAAAACTAGATATTAATAAAAACATTAACATGTGATACTTTAAAAATCAATGTCAAAACAACAATATTCAAATATAATAAATTAATTATTAAAATCAAATTAACATTCACGGAGATTATCCGTCTCGACCAGAGTCTCTCTCTTAGACTCTAGCTATCTTCATTATGAGCATGCCATTATCTGGATCTTGTTCTAACTACTTTTCATGCTGGAAGTGTAGTTCTCACTATCTTCCCTAACTTCAATGTTAGTTTGAAGGATCCCACAATCTCCCAGAGATTAAAGGTACAAATCCAGATTACTGGAGTTGAACAAGTAGTAGATGCATTATAGGTTACTCTTCATCATCAAATCATATATAGGTTGCAAGATCATGCGATAAATCTTGCGTTACCATCTTGCAAAGATGGAGTACTCTTCGTCTTGGCTAACAACTAAGATGAGATATCTTCCATAGTTCAAATCCCCAGAAATATCTCTTCACAAGAGCTTCATAAGCTCATTCCTATGCAGTGGGTAACTAACTATGAGAAGCTCCACAGTAACCAGAAACCCATTCAGTTCACCGAATTAACATTCAGAAGATCTGTGGATGAAACTGTTAGAACTATCTTCAAGAATCCAGAAGAAACTCCTAGTTCCAGCACCTCTATTTTCCAGTCAATGATGATAACGTCTGCCACCAAGGAAGGCAAAATCCCAATCGCCAGTGTACGCCCTGATGGCAAACCTGTCTTTACTGACAAGATAGGAGGACATTTTATCTGGGATGTTGACCCAGATATGTGCGATTCTGACTGTGACTGTTGTGACCACTATGGAGACACTAGTGACGAGGATGATGACTCAGATAGTGATGATGATGATGACTTCAAAGGAGGATCTTGCAAACCTCCACTTTCACCCTCCAGGAAATTTGAACCTGGAAAAGGCCCGTGGATAGGAATCCAT